TGTTCAGCAGCAAGTTGGTCCTCATCTCCGACTTTTGTTCGATTCTATATGCATGACGTGTCATGGCCGTGCTTGGCTAGCGCGGTCCTGGAGTCCTAACTGGAACCCAGGGACCCTTCCCACTGGCCGGTACTTGTTCGATAAGCTGTCTGGCAATACGGGAGCTACCATATCCCATAGCGAGACACCGAGTGAATATTATGAAGAAGAACGTTTGATTATCTAACATAACCGCAGTTCTTAGAATAATATGAGCAGGGTGTCTCGCCAGACGACCCTTCTTGCTGGGCGGTGAGAAGAGGTCTGCTTATTGAATTGAAGGAGGGTTATCCGCGCACACTATATATAGTAGGTGGGACTACTGGGTGCGGCGCGGGTGAACACCTTTTGCCGACCAATCAAGTTTGGCGGATTGAGATAAATGCTTCTATCAGGGCTGCAGTAGGCTGTATCCCATAACGAGACACCTCGCTTATATTATTCTAAGAACTGCGGTTATGTTAGATAACCAAACGTTATTCAGTTTAGCATTTAATAGCTTTAAGATCATCTCTGTACTCAGGATATCAGGTAAATAAGCTATATGGTGCTTGTTAAGGTTACTTAGTAACCTCAGGTGCAACCTGTGGCCGCGCTCTTGAAAGCTGGCACTAAAAAAGGCAGAAGAGTAGCACCCATTGCCCAACCTCACGTTTTCCAGGCAATTACAGATGTGGCATGTGTACAGCCCCTCACTAACAGGGCTGGTACCTGCGGTTATTACACAGGCAAGTTAATAACATGTTGGGGATAAAATCCAAAGTGTGGGATCATTTTGAGAAGGTGAAGGACAAATCCAGGGTGATCTGTACACTCTGCAGACAAACATTTGCCAGTCATTTGTCGACTACTAACATGACGAATCATCTGAAACATGCAAGTAGCTACATGGCCATTAGCCACTAAGCACAATCGTTGCTGACAGCATAATTAACGGGCAGCTCGCTCAGTGTGTGATGTGTGCTTGTAAACAAAGTATTGGCCTATATTAATTGTTTTGTATTATTCTGTAATGTATCACAGTGTTAACAATGTTACTGATACTATTCTTTCTCACACCTTAAACTCAAACCATTGTGTTGCCCCACCCAAAATATATAATTTAATAATTAAATTAGTATCGTAAACATGTGGGCGACTTGTCGACTAATGGCCCGATATGACGAATATTGGTTGACTAGGAATGTTCTTAGTCGGGGGCAGCCCTGCCACTTTCAGACAGCAGACCTGTATGACACAATACGCAGAGCTACTGCACTTGACCTGCATTGGAACCATTTATATGAGACTGATGCTAGTCTAAATGCTGCTAGACAAGTTCCATATGCTTACATGAGAATTACAGTAACACAAGATAAAAGTTAAGCTTTAATTTCACCTCATACATTGTTCATATGCACGCTCCCTCTCTCTTGATTGCTCATGTGTGCTTTCTATTTCTCTCTTCTTGTTGTCTTTAGTAAATTGATTAAATGATTTTTAAATTACTATGTATTGTAAAGTGACCTTGGGTTTCTTGAAAGGCTCTATATACATTAAAGTTATTATTATTATTAAATGTCTGTATCATTTAATCTATTTCCATTACTGGTTTCAATGCCAGTTCACCAAAGCTGGGAAGCCTCCAACACGTTGTTCAGCCCTGGTCAGGAGGAGGGTTGTAAAGGAGGGTCGGCTGGCTGACACACGTTAACCCATACAGATAGACCTCCGATGAGAGTTTGATCCCATCATTGTGTTGCTATTTGTATGGTGGATTTTGCAGATTGGAGAAGCAAGCAGTTTTCTGCTGAGAGTAATGCAGTGAGAGCAGTAATCACTGCAGCAAATGGGACATTTAAGCAGCAAAACTAAAAACTGTAGTAGGGATGTAATGATTACCGGTAAAATGATAAACCGCGGTAAAATTCCAGACGGTTAGTATTACCGTTTCAAATTTTATCATTAAAACCGTGTTTGATGGGGTGTCGGTGGCTTGGTAGATGGAGCGGGTGCCCCATGTGCAGGGCTGTTGCTGCAGCAGCCTGGGTTCGACTCCGGCCTGTGGCCCTTTGCTCCGTGTCATTCCCCCTCTCTCTCCCCCTTTCGCACTTGACTTTCCTATCAATTGAAGGCAAGACTGCCCAAACAAATATCTTAAAAAGAGAGAGAAAAAAAAAACAAAAAAAAAAACGTGTTTGATTACTGCACTTTGAAAAACTCACAGTGATACTCATTGCCTGGAAAAGCAGCAGCAGTCCCTTAGACACAGGCGTGCATGCGCAGTTTGCAATGTTTGGCCTCTGAAAACATGGCGGAAGGCATCGAAGGCACCCGTACGGACAGTGCTCTGGAGAAAGTCTGAAGTCTGGATGTATTTTGGATTTTATAAGGATGCTGAGGGGAAACTAACTGAAGATTGTCACCCTGTCTGCAGAAAATGCAGGAAAAATGTCTCTGCGAAGGGGGGTAACACTTCAAATTTCATGAGCCATCTTCGTGACCACCACCCACAACTATACAGCGAGTGTACCTGTGCCTGATACACACACTACACGACTTTTCTGCCCGTTCTGAAAGTCACTATGTCACATTACACTATTGTGGAGTCATAAAATTGTGCCGTGACTTGGCCGACAGACATGACACACTACATGACGATACACACCAATTATCCCCGGTTGTCTTTGATGACGTATGTGATGTCATCGGGTTATTCTTGTCCTATTTTTATTACTTTCACTATTATTTGAGTCACTGTCTGTTCATGTGCCAGCCGAAATGTTGTTGTAGTAATATTAAAAAGCGCCAGCAGATGGCAGGAGCTACATTTGATGTACCATACGCAAACATACAAGTCACTGAATCCTCCACAAGTTCCTGCAAATGTTTCACAATAAAAGCCTTTTTAGAAAATGGAGGGATTCTCTCAGCCGAGGTTATAAGGGGGCTTTTAATTTGAAACAAATTCAGGAAGTGTTGAGTTTGAAATGACAGCACGATGCATTAACTTTATGAAGCCAACGGGAGCGGATAAAAAGAAAAAATATAAAAACACAAAAGGATTAAGAAATAACGGCCGTCTATAATGTAGTCTGTTTCAAATGAAGCTGGTAGCCTCTGCAGTTGTGGGGAGTAAAAGCCCCGCCACTATTTTTTTAATTTTCTTACTTCATGTCCGTCTCCATTATGAAGAAATAACATTGTTTGCTAGCTTGATGCTAATGGCAATACTCAGCAAGTTGACAAAGTGCCTCTGCTGTTTCACACCATCATTTTCCCCTTTTACTCTGTGTGGTAATATCCCTAGAGGAAATATTAAAAATGCTGGGGTGTTGTTGCCCTACAGTTGTCTACGGCAGCAGATCGCTCTGTGTTCCTAATGGTCAAAGTGACGGCTGTGATAGGAGTAATCGTGAACGACAAAAAGAAAATCAAACATGCTAGACTTTCTGTTAGACAGAAAGTACATTGTGCTCTTTATTTTATTTGCTTTTCGAAATAAAACTTGGTTAAATAATTTCAGTGTGTGTGTATAAGTACTTTTTGAACATTTTGAGCACATTTCAACAATACCGTAATAATAAAGATAACTGTGATCATTTTGGTCACAATAATCATGATATGAAATTTTCATACCGTTACATCTCTAAACTGTAGTCATAAACCTGACAGAGGAAACAGAGCAAAACTTTTAGCTTCTGAAATAATCACTAAAGTTACACTGCTTCTTGGGCGTAAACGCCTGATCATACCTCATTCTAAGACCTACACACCCATGGACACACAGCGTGGGTGCTGGCCATGAAAATGACAACTGCCTTGTTCTGAAACTAGCAATGACAGTCGTGTTGGGCTGTGGACTGCTTTGCATAGGGTGTAAGATAGGGCCCAATATGTGTTAGTAGGTCAGAGGTCATTAGAACAAGATCACATGAGTCTTTAAAAATTGTTAGTGTATCCTGTCAACTGAGATTACAGTATATGCAGTAGGTTGTACTGTATGTGCAGTAGACAATGCGGTGTCAGCATTAGATTGCATGACACGTCAGTTGTTTGCTGCTGACTAATACCTTTCCTTCTGTAGAGCTAACTCTTCTCTGTTCTTCCCACATCTCTACGCTCAACCCAAATTTCTGCCAAATAGTGTCTACTAAAACACTTTTACACTACAGGCTATGTAGTGGACAACAGATATTTATTGTATTTCCTTTTTTTGATATCACTGTCCCAATGAAATCTTTTACCAGCCTTCTTTACAATACTCAGTACATTTACATGACATTAGAGAAAATTGATTTATTGTGTTAGTCCAATTAAAACTGGACTTTAAAAATACACATAAACATATTTGTCCAACTGAAATTGTACTAAATTAAATTTCTCAAAGTTGGACTGACACACCCAGATAATGCGATTGTGTGTTGAATAACACCTGCATGTATATAGTCAGTCAGACCCAAACTGGCCAAGGTGCTCTACCCATGGTCCACAGTTTCTGTGACGGGTTTTGACCCGGAAGATGAATACGACGAATAGGAGAAGAGGCCGGTAACAACATGGCAAAATCTACATCCAGAGCTGTTGATTTTTGGACAGACGAGGAGATACAGTTCATGCTGTGTCAGCTGAAAGACTTCAATATTTTAAAAAACAAGTTTGCCGCCAGCTAACTGTAGCTACTTTGTTGGTCAATTGTTTGGTCTGTGACATAATAGATCAATCGGAAAAAGATCAAATACTAACAAGCTGAAAGGGGGCATATCACCACCTATTGAAGCGGAGTTGGACATACTTTGGTCAATAAATCGATTCCCCTCCTGTGTTTGTATAGTGGGACAAGGACAGTAGTCCAATTAAATGGCCTAGTCGAGATGTAACCAAACGTACTGAGTGCTTTATTTGCCCTTTATTGCAGGATAGCCTAGTCTCCTTGTCCTTTATTTCCACTCTTTCCTGTCCTTCTCTGTCTGTCTGTGCAGGTGACCTCTTTTCTCTTATGTCCAAGCTGCTAGGCCACAGCAAGGACATAGTTCACATTCATAAGTACAACCCCAGCGAGATGCAGAGAGCCCAGGCTGACTTGGTGGCTCAGATCGATAGCTTAATGCAAAAGAAAGACCTGGGCTCTCCCAGTGCCAGACTAGCCTTCCAAACCAGGGAAGATCCTGTTTTGCTGAGGGACAGGGTCCACAAATTCCACCAGCTTGAGGCCACGGCTAAGCCACCAAGAAGCAAGCTGCTAGCTGAAGGACAAGGTGGGTCCTGGATGCTATTTTATTGTTGTTATTGATCCCCTTCTTTCTTTACATGGTCCACTATGCTTGAACTGTAACACATACACAGTTCACATGTTTAGACACCCTTTGAGTTTTTGTAAAATGTATTGTGCTATGAAATGACCTTAAAATATTAGTATACAAGTTATTTAAACCAATGAAAAATAGTCTTGTACGCGTCACTGTTAAATCAGGGCTTTACTGTGAGAAAAATTTCTCCATATTTCTTTTTCCCCTTGGCTGTAGCATCCTGTTTTTCCTCCTCATGTGTATCTTTTCCCTCCTCATCCCTTTCTTTGCTGTCACTCATGGATATGTTACTCAGACCGGCTCCCACCACATCAGTCTGAATGTCTGATAAGTCATTAACTCTGCCCCATGAGCTCTATGTTCGTTCTGGCTTCAGTGCAGAGGCTCTGCTTGTTTTCAAAGTGACCTGTGGAGTTTCCTTGTAAAAAAAAAAAAAAAAAAAGTTTGGTTGACATTCAGTCCTACTCACCATTATCACATTGTGTGTATTCTTGAGGTGAATGCATATTCTTGAATGCATTTCATTTCTCATAAAATATTTTCAAAGATTTAATCCCATATTGTTTACACCTGTGTTATAACCTGGCTCAAATGCCCACAACAAAATGGAGACACACCATGGCAAAGTTGAACAAAAGATAATTATTTAATCAAATTAAACCCAATTAGACCAAATGAGACCAAATTAAAGATTAACTAAATATTTACAGTGTGGAATGTGGAAGTCAGAGGTGTCAGTAGTGTGATGGGTGCAGGAAAATGTGTACAGATGTATAAAGGTGCGTAAAAGCAAAACTAAGAACTAAAGCAACATAACCAGTCCAAAGAGGGACAGGGAGATGCAGCAACAAAGTGGAGTGCAGCCAGAGAAGGCCCCTAGCTGCACACAGACTTAATTATCCTGAAACACCCTCAGGTGCTGCCAGTTGCCCTACGATCACCTGCATGTAAAGAGTGAGCACACAGACAGGTAAACACACGTTAATTAGCTGAAATAGGAATGTGTCTCTCGCCGCCTGCATGCATGCGTGTGCATTTGGGTCATTGTGGTCGCGCACACGAAACCTCTACAGGGAGCCTTTAATTCCCTTGTAGAACAAGTGGGCAAGTTGGATGATGACTGCTCTATGTTCACATTGGGGTACAACAGTTCAGAATAATCCAGAACAGAATGACCAAACCTAGAATTTGCAAAAGAGAAAGCAAAAAGAAATCTTGTCTAAACTCACTAAGAGGTGGAGCACACTAAGAGAGGGAGGGCTGTGTAAATCATCCATCCATCCATTTTCATCCATTTATGCAGGGCCGGGTTGCAAGGGAAGCAGGCTGAGCAAAGTACTCTAGAAATCCCTCTCCTCAGCAATGCTTAAAAGCTCCTCCTGGGGGATCCAAAGGTGTTCCCAGGCCAGATGAGATATGTAATCCTTCCAGCATGTTCTTGAACTGCCTTGGGGCCTCCTACCAGTTGTATGTGCCCAGAGAACCTCTAAAGGGAGACACCCAGAAGGATCCTGATCAGATTCCCAAACCACCCCAACTACCTCCTTTCAATGCGAAGGAGCTCCGAGCTCCGAGCTCCCTCTAGATGTCTGTTCTGCTCAGCCTGTCTTTCAGGCTGAACCTAGCCAAACTATGGAGAAAACTCATTTCAGCCGTTTGTATCTGCGATCTCACTCTTTTGGTCACTACCCAAAGCTCATGACCATAAGTGAGGGTTGGGATGTAGAAAGACTGGTATATCAAAAGCTTTGCTCTCTGGCTCAGCTCCCTTTACAATGATGGTCCATCGCAGCGCATCACTGCTGATGCCACATCAAACCACCGATCCATCTCATGCTCCATTTTAATGTCATTCATTTTCTGAATATGAGAGATGCGTAAACAGCATTTATGAGTTCACTGTGGTCGGTCATCAGTACTTTTATAATGGAATTAAATAGATATTTTAAGTAAATATGCAGATAACTGTCCGCTCCTCTTAGAGCTTGGATATTTCAGAAAGGTGTTACTCTGCTCGGTGATCTAGACAGTGTGAGAGTATGTGTGTTCTAGTCTGCACGCCATCTGCACAGGCTTGAGCAACACTTGAGTCATATGTGGATAAGTTTCAACAGCTGTGTACATCTGGACACTCAGTTCTTTTCCCATTCTCCGTGACGAAACCTGTCAAGCTCTGTCAAATTGCTGGAGTCTGTCAGTGAACAGCAGTTTGAGGTCCTGCCATAGATTCTGGATTAACCACCGTAAACTCTTGTATGAATGTGATTGGATATTACTGGTCAGCTGGTTGCCAAGCATAAAAGAAACAGCTGAAGGCAATCAGCTAATGCATGTGTGATTTGAGTGCTCTGCTGAAAAAAATGCAGTGCTCCATTCTACTGATCACTACTCAAAGCTGATGACCATAGGTTAGGGTTGGATCATAGATCAATTTGTGAATGGAAAAGTTAACTTCATGCTCAGCTCTTTCATCATCATGACAGCCCAAAATAATTCCCACATGACTGCCTGATCCGCCTGTCAATCATGCGAGCCATGTTACTCTCGCTAATGCATCTCAGAGTCACTATGGAAAGTGACACAGCAAAATTCATTTCTGTGACCTGGCAAAAAAAAATGGCTGAGGAAGCTTGGTAACAAAGTGATGCTTTAGCTCTCAGTTACAGTTAAAGTTTAATTATGGTTTATTACAATTTGGCCATCATTTCTATATTTAATAATATCATACTCACTCAGTTATTTGCTGATATGTGGGACTGCAGCAACTTTGGGGGCAAGAGACAAGCAGCTTTAAGCAGTCATAGAGGCATGTCCAGACCATCCTTATAGAACTCTGCCCCTACCTTTCAGTGCAGTTACTAATAAATTTGTTTTTAAAGGTGGAAAAAATTATACAGTCTATTAAACAAACTGACTTTGCATGTCAGCCCCATAGCACACCCCTGATTACTAGCCACAATAGAGAAGCTGATATTGTCTTTTCCTTGTGTGTGTGTGTGTGTGTGTGTGCGCGCGCACACACGCATGCACATGGGCAAAATGTACACTACAGTATTGTAGTGGGAACTACCTTAAAAGAAATAGCTTGTTCTATTTCTATTATTTATAAGAATTAATAAAACAGGACCTTTGTTGCATGTCATACACCTCTCTCTTTCCTCCTGTCTGTGTCTATGCATCTGTGTGATAAAGGCAAAAAATGCCAGAAAAATAATAAAATATTTCCAAACAAAATGCAGAAAAGCATTGAAGTGGTAACCTTTCCCTTCCTAGCCACAAAGTGGGCTTGTGCTTTAAAAGAACGTGTTGCAGTAACTTACGTTCAAAGTCATTTAGACTGTAGAAATGATAAACACCCTGTTAAGGCAGCAGTACATTAGAACTGCATTTTGAATGGTCAAACAGATGGAAACTCCCTCCCCCTACACATTTCCGACATTGGAGTTGGGTAGGGGCGTTTGACAATTTCTGTAACTTTCCAAGAACTGCGTATTTGACATCCATATCCACTTCGCACAGCGATTGGCCAGATGTGCAGAGTTGAGATGGTACAGAAGTTTTGAACTTCTTTCACAAGCTCACAACTATTACCGGTACTTTTCATGTGTGCAACACTAAAGGCCTTTGCACACAGAGTCCATTATATCGGATGCATTTTTTAAAAAATCCGTCATTTGAAAAAAATAAAATAAAATAAAATAAAATGTTAGACAGAAACCTTGCACACTATGTCTGGTACGTTGTATTATTCTATTTCTTGTGAAAATGTCCAATACAAGACAAAATGAAAAGACACATCTCCTCCCCTGCTTCTCTCCACAGAGATACCTTTCTGGTTGTTCCCACTCTTTCCCCTGAGTCCTGCATTTGGCACTGTGGCTGGTGGGGCTGAGCTGTCCTCCCTCTCTATTTCCACACTTTAGCTTTTTCTCAAAACATCCTCCTCCTTGTCATCATTATTCACCTGAATATTACTATCAGACCTGTTGAAAGTGAGCTATCTGAGTTATGAAAGAATACTGTGCGGCCCATTTCTCTGTCTTTTCACAGATGTGTCCTGTTGCCACATTTTCTTCACTGATTCCTGGTCAAACAACTCTCTAAAGGCTTCTGATGGATGCGAAAAACACAGAAAATCAGACCCATTCCGAAAACTTTTATGACAGTCAGAAGTTTCAGACTCAGTGTGCAAATGTGACTGACCCACTTGACATGCTGCTGTGTTGTGCTATGGCCTATTCAAGTCAATGAATTAGAAAATCTGTCGGGTTCGGGCCAGGCTCGATTATAATTGTCTTGGACTTGGGCGGGCCGGATTCGTTCAGGAAAATGTGGCCTGAGCCGCGCTCTAGTGTGCTCACCTGTGTGCGCACACGTGTGTGTGTGTGTGTGTCTGTGTGTGTGTGTGTGTGTGTGTGTGTGTGTGCGTGCGAAACAGAGAGCAGAGGAGAATTGTATACGCCCGACCATGTAGAGACAGAAATGACATGTTGTCGTGTAAATTAAATAAAAAACATAAGGCTATTTAGTTTGTTTAATAAAAGGACAAGGTATAGACCTGTTCTATAGGAAAGGTAACCTTAAATTATTTCTGTTGAGATCTGGCGCTATATAGAAAATAAAATTAAATAAAATTAACTTGACCTTCAAGTGGGGGCGGGGATTGCCGTTGGAGGGTGGGGTGCCCCCCTAATATAATGGTAGGGGAACACTGGGTGTATTATTTTTAGAGTAACGCACCAGTTTTTATCATAGGTATGTGTCATATTAACTCATTGCAACCTTGTGTTTGTGTGTTCTTATCCATAATCACCTTGTTGTGTAACTTGAACCACTGATACAGTCTTGACACTAAAAAGAAAACAGATGTATGTGAAACCCCTTTCATTACAGAATGCCAGTGATCACTTTTAACACCATGTTGAAAATACCTCAACCCATGGGTTTGTGGGTGTCTGTGTGTGTGTTTTTGTGTATTGCAGACTACCATTTGGAGCAAGTCTCAGCATGGCCTCAGAATTCTCTCAAGCTGGGTCAGGTGTCAGGACTTGCCCTTGACTCAGATTCTAACCTGGTCATTTTCCATAGAGGTGACCGCCACTGGGGGGCAGAGTAAGTCACCTTCAACATTTTCTGTTAATACAGGGCTTCTGACAGTCCTTGAAAGTCAGAAATCTTCATGTATAATGTTTTAAATATAATGTAATTTGTTTATCTTGAGAGTTCACTACTGCCACCACCTTTCAGCTATCCATAATATGACATATGATCCATCACTCACAGAAAGTACAGACTCTAGTTTAAACAACAGCCCGCATTTCCTCACTTTTAGGTCTGTTGCCAATTGAGGGTCAAGGTATCTTAAAATATGCTTTTAGACAGTGGATGGTTATCGTGCCAGGACATATGGTCAAAAATGACCTGAATAACAAGCTGTTATGGTTGCAATCACATTGTCAAAGCAACTAGATGGATGGAAAAAATGCTACTCTGTGTAGGTTGAAAGTGTCTGTTATAATTTGTCCCCATATTGTCCCCATTGCCATTTGCAGCTGGCATTTTCAAATTGTGCAGGAATGAGTCCTTAAACACACAAATAAGTTAGCATTTTAGCACTTCTGGTTCCTTTGTCTCAGAGTCATTGGATTTTTTATGGGTTGAATGGTGCCTAAAATAAATTCTGTGAATAGTGTGTTGCAGAAATGAGACCTAAAACACAGAAATAAGTGAGCATTTTAGCACATGGGTTTGTGATTTTGCATTTCCTAGGATAGCAAAGACAAGACCTACCCTCCTCTCCCTCTGATTGGGTTATACTCGTTGCCTTTGGTGGTTAGGTCAGTAAGGTTTAGGTAAAAGGAGTAAGATTGGTTAGCGTTAGAGTAAGAATGTCACAGTAACCCATTCAGAGGCAGAGTAAGGTGGGAAATGCCTTTGCTAGTCTAGGTAACGCAAATTTGCATTCAGTTCACTTGGTCAATGGGTTTTTGAAATTGGTTTTTGGTTAGATGCCTGAAATAAGGTCTGTGGTTATCACAAGCTTGAGAGATTTCCGTGTTTTCTTCTATGACATAAAATATGCCAGTAAATACCCCACTTGTGACTTTTGAAGTGTTTGCGGTTTCTAACAATTGGCTAAATGAGACTACAGAACTTCGTCACTCTGAGCATGGCTTTTTTTGGTGTCTTCCATTTGCACTGGGAAGTCATGCGACTGTTTTTACTGAACAAAATGTGTTTAATCAAGAAAACCAGGATGACACTGGCTTCCCAGTTAGCCTACATAAATAAGCATCATCCCTCAACACTCTATGGGACTCACTGCTTTTTCTACCATATAACCAAAATAAAAAGCACAAGAAGGCATTGTTGGCTTTGTTTGCCTCATTCAGTTTAGCTTTGGCCACTACTGACAGTCAGCTGATGGTAAAGTGGAATTTATACTTCCACTTTGACACAGAACCTAGCCATACAATGTAAAATACTACAGGCTTGTTCTAATAACATTAGCATGTTGTATTTGTTTGGAAAAAGTGTTTAGTATAAGACAGTTGTTTTGTCAGTGAACCTTGTGAGTTGTAATGGAGCCAAAATTTGTAACGTTACCTTTGTTAAATGTTGCTGTTGTCCCTGGCTTCATATGAGTAGAGGAAATCTCCACTAGGTGCTAGGCTAATTTATACAATGTAAATGCCATAGGCTTGTGCTAATAACGCTAGCATGTTGTATTTGTGGGAAAAATGTGTTCAGCAAGAGAGAAGTGTTTTGTCTGTGAATCCTGCAATTTGTGTACTTGTGTTTAAAATTGTCACTATTAAGCCATATTTAATGTGTGTTGTTGGGTGTGTTTTGAATCAACTAAACTTTACAGCACTTCACAGAAACCCCACCGCCCACTTGTGTTATGGAGGTGTACCTGCAGAGTAGGGCTGCTCAATTATGGAAAAAATCATAATCACTATTATTTTGGTCACACACACATGAAACACACACATTGAAATCTTCTGCGATCACCTGCCCCTCGCATAACATCTCCAGGCATCTGTGACCAAAAATCGTTTACACTCGATTTCATTAATTTTGAAATCGTTTGACCTCAAAATTGTAATTGTGATCACCAGACGATTAATTGCACAGCCTTACTGCAGAGTGACACAGACACACCACCACACAAGTATAAATGCTCGCAACAGTGTAGGCCACATGTGTAGGCTACAGAGTAGGCTCTGCATAGAACTGACGCACAAGTACAAATCTGCCTTAAGTAAGTGGCGTAACAGCTTGCAGCTAATATGGCATAGATGATAGCTGGGAGGGTTTAAGAGAAAGCAAACCATCTCTTTGTAGAACTACAAAACAATTTTTTTTTTTCAGCTCCTTTAACGACCAGGCGAGATACCTGCAGAGGTCCCAAGGTCCTATTCAACAGTCCACTATTCTGGTAGTTGACCCGACCAAAGGCAACATCCTGAAGGCTTCTGGTAGAGACATGTAAGTTATAGTGTGCTTTAGTTTTTATTGTCAAAAAGGAGAGTACTGAGTATGAACAGACACAACAAGGTATTTCTTACATGGTTGACATCATGCATAACAACCAAAGTGAAAACTGTCTTGTAATGATTCATATCTGGGATGTTGCAGGTTCTATTTGCCTCATGGAATAACTACAGACAAGAGGAATAATTACTGGGTCACTGATGTGGCTCTTCATCAGGTATGCAGCAGGTGGTATTCTAGCCCAGCTGAATATGTTTAAAAACCAGCTCTACACATCAAATTTTAGGCTCTCAGTCATTTATGTATACTTAAAAGTTTTATTGATGATGAACTGTAGAGCTTTCTTAAAACTATTAACTGATACAGGTAAATAGCCAATAAATTACAAGAACAAAACATATTAACTGTGTAGCATACTGTATGTAGTGTGTATAGCTTATCAGTTACATCATGTGACTGAATTAAAGTGTGAGTAATATTTTTGGAAATGGTGCCCAAAATCACTGTCTTTAAATGTGTCCCTGTTTTACACCAAGAAAACAAAGGTAATGCCAGATGTCCATGCCATAATCTTAGAATGAAAAATGGTTGGTGTGTGACATTTACAAATACATTTATTCTGTTCATGGTGAAATAATCATTTACACATTATTTATTTAGGTTTGTTATTTACATTGATCTGTAAATAATTGATATACACCTTTAAAAGGTCATATGTACGCAGTAGGTCTGATGGTGATGTATTCAGAACAGGTTGAGATTCAATACCCAGATCAAGTCTATGAACACATGATGAAGCAGGACCAATCAGGAGTCTCCCTTCTGTCCACTCATCAGGTGTTTAAAGTGAGCAGTGATGGGAGAGACAGTGTGCTGCTGAAACTGGGAGAGGCTTTCACACCAGGAAGTGACAACAGCCACTTCTGTCAGCCCACCGATGTGGCTGTAGACCCTGAGACTGGGAACGTCTTTGTGTCTGATGGCTACTGCAATGCCAGGATACTCAAGTTCTCTGCAAATGGTCAATACCTGTCTCAGTGGGGTGCAGGTAGGAATCTGACTCAACACACGCACATACACACACACACACACTCTTGGATGTTTTAAAGCAGGTGTTGTTAAACTAGAAAATGCTTTTCCAGTGGAAAATGCCTGTGGATACTGAAAGCTAAAATGAATTCAAAACAATGGCTGAAAATGCAGAAATATGAACTAAATTAACTTGAACAGCAGTAGTAGTAGTAACAGTAGTTTGAGAAGAAATACTAGAAGCAGCAATAGTAGTAGCAGTAGTGATTGTAGAAGTACTTTCAGTAGATACATTTAGAGGTTAAATGAGGTTGTTTTGAGAGGGATGAAGTACTTGAACAATACAAAAGGCGTTGCCAAATGCAGCATCAACAAAAGATTTTACCTTCTCAGTTTACTAACAACAATGTCAAACATAATGGAACTGTGCAGTGGTGTTGGTAGGATTCAATTTCATATGCACAAGAACTGCCTTCCCAAAACGTGTAGGTTCCCTGCCAGCACTTACACAGTCTACTCAATAAACGAGTAAGCAAGCTAGGCAAAGAGAGGTTGATACTTTTTTTTGTTTGTTTGTTTTTGCACTAATGTTACTAGTACAACCCCACTAAAAAAATGTTTAGTTGTAGGAAAAAATTCACCTTGCCTCTCAGGGCTTCTGTACTTCCAGTAAAGCCAGCACATAAAAGTATTTCTGCATTTAGAGAGCATGTTATGTGACAAGTGTTATTTCAGAGTCTTCTGTTCAGTAGTTTTTCCTGTTTAAACACCCCGATGTGTAGGATGTGAAAATGTGTCAGTGAATGTAACACACAGACTGCATCCATTGAACATGAACTTGATTTACAATAACATGAAATTAAAGTGACAGTGGTCTTTTCCACAGAATCAGTCATGTAGAAAGACAACATGACTTCCATGCAAACGTGGCTGTTTTCTCCATATAGGAGCTTCATTAATAATGTGGTAACTTTGTAGGTTGATACATCACTGACACCAGTGGACACCATCTGCACATATATAGCCATCTTGTCTTATTTTTCTGACTAAAGGCTCATCAGACAGGAGGAGGCGCATACCGTTCTCGATCCCGCACAGTCTAGTGTTCCTTCCTGACAGACAGGAAGTTTGTGTGGCTGACAGGGAGAACGGACGTATCCAGTGCTTCATAGCCGAAACTGGAGAGTTTGTCAAAGAAATAAAGAAAGAGGAGTTCGGAGGGGAGGTGTTTGCCATCACCTACAGCCCTGCTGGAGGTGAGTACTGATGGAGCTGGGTAGAGACATTCATCACATGTCATCCCCTTGTTTTTCACGTTATTTTTCCTGTTGCTCAGTTATTATGCCAAACTATGGTGAGAGAACTGTTTAAATTTAAGCTTTGATTTTTTTAATTTTGTTTTTCAGTCTGACTTCAGTCAGAAAGGGGCAATCAATTTACTTTCATGGTTGTATAAGGTCCTCCAGGGGTCTGAAGGACAGAGTGACCCTAATGATGTCACAGTGAAGTTATCAGGGTTGTCTTGGCTTGGGCTCAGACACAAACAGAAAGCCTGCATTACAAACTGTATCTCAGGCAGAGAGGGTCAAAACATGCTGCTGAATGGTATAATGTAGGGTCCAGTGTTTTTAGGGCTTGAGCCAAACTAAAGGGTAAAAGTCACAATATCTTATAGCCAGAAATGTTACAATGTGCCTTTAAAGTTTTCAATTCAAGGAGTACCTTTACATTGTGTTCTCGTAAATGTCTAACAGTTACCATGTGTGTGTGCATGTGTGTGTCTGTCTGTGTGTGTGCATGAAGATGGCTTGATCTTTGCAATAAATGGAGTCTCTCCATATCGCTCAGCTCCACTCAGAGGTTTTGTAATAAATTATTCAACAACGGACATTTTGGATACCTTCAGCCCTGAGAAAACGGTAATCACACACACACACACACACACACACACACACACACACACACACACACACACACACAGATATATTGAGCTGCTCTCACTCATTCCTTTCTCTACTGTACTGAAACACTGGTAAAGGCTGTGTATGATTAAGGACAGTAGCTTTTGAGTCACTAATTATTCATCATTTTTGTCGATGGATGAAATGCAACAAAGGTCCTCAGCTGGAATTGAACCTGGGATATTGCAATTATACTGTATGCTTGTTAGAACAGGTGGCCACTAGAATACCCCAACCATCCACCCGATCCATTTGCAGGGTCACAGGATGCTGGAGCCTATCTCAGCAGGCATGGGGTTCGAGGTGGGGCACACCGCAGAGAGTTCGGCAAGCTTAAACAGGGCAGACACATAAAGACAGACAATCCTTCACTTTCACAATTTAGAGTTGCCAGTTATGATTGATTGATTCCTGTGCAGCTGTTTTATGCCTGCTTCTCTGTGTGGAATACAGTATTGAGCCAGGGACATTAATATATGCAGTTTTTGAAGTTTATTGACAGCAATATGTCATTATAAAGTGTTGTGGATATGATCAGAATGTCATAGTTAGTGTGGAAATTGGCTGAACTGGATTTCTATTATTTTCACAGCCTTCAAGTTATAAATACAACAGAAATCTGTGAGAATTGATATTAGGGCTGCACAATATATCATTTGAACATCGCAATGTGCGCATGTGCGATAGTCACATCGCAGGACATGCAATGTTTTCTCTTTTTTTAGAACATGTAAACTTTTGCTTCAGAAAAGCAGCTCTGGAGAAAGCTCTTTGCTTCGCTCTGCTCGCCTCTCTGAGCACCAAGTAGCCCCTCCCCCTCTCATGCACACGCTGCAGTCACACACTGAAAATGAGCGACATGCAAGAGGGAGAAACGGTAAAGGTGGATTTATGCCTGGTACACACTACACGACTTTTCTGCCTGTTCTGAAAGTCACTATGTCACATTACATGATTGTGGAGTCATAAAATCGTGCTGTGACTTGGCCGACAGACATGACACACTACACAGTGTTACACACCAATTATCCCCGGTCGTCTTTCACGAAGTGTGTGATGTCATCAGGTTATTCTTGTCCTATTTTTATTACTTTTACTATTATTTCAGTCACTGTGTCTGTTCATGTGCCAGCCGAAATGTTGTTGTAGTCACCTAAAAAGCGCCGGCAGACGGCAGGAGCTACATTTGATGTACTGTACGCAAACATACAAGCCACTGAACCCTCCACAACAAGTTCCTACAAATGTTTCACAATAAAAGCCTATTTAGAAAATAAGGGGATTCTCTCAGGCGATGTTATAAGGGGCTTTTAATTTGTAACTAATTCAGGAAGTGTTGAGTTTGAAATGACGGCACGATGCATTAACTTAATCAAGGCAGCAGGAGCGTATAAAAAGTAAAAACATAAAGATACAGAGGGATTAATAAATAACGGCCCGTATATAATTTAGTCTGTCTCAAATGAAGCTGGTAGCCTCTGCAGTTGTGTTGAGTAAAAGCCCCGCTACTATTTTCTAATTTTCTTACTTTAAGTCATCTGGTGAAAATTCTTGTATTTTTTAATATCCCAATATATATTGCAAAAATAAAAAATAAAAAAAAAATAGCAATGTCAGTTTTTTTCCAATATCATGCAGCCCTAATTGATATAGTCGAAAGCTTAAATATTCACTCACAAAGTTCTCAACGAGTGCTTCTGATGGATAAAGAAATAATATTAGATCCTTCCATGAAGTTTGATAGGGTATTCTGCAAGTTTTGTGAACAGTGCACATTATGCGAGACATTTGTGGTCACTGCAGCCTCTTATTTTGGCATATTTCACGCCAACTTTGTCAAGAGTGGGAAGGATCTGTGAATCAGTTTTGGTAGCATTTGAACATATCATTTTGAAATTGCTATAGTTAGTAGTTAATTGATTTTTGTAAAAACAAAACAAAAAAAACAACTGTTCCTTCTGTGTCATTCTTTTTGACTGCCAGAGACACTATGTAATACCAGATATCCATCATGTGCATATGCAGGAGGTTGAGAGCTTATTCCAATAACATTACATTTGACCTGTATGATACGAGCAACCTGATAAAGGACCCAGCAGTCATTTTGTTTACATTTTCTTACGACATGCAGGTTGTGTGCGCCTGTGCCAGTGGCCTTGTGACCAGTTGATTGAAGTTACATTCTATCCTCCAGAGACTGCATAGCATCAGTTAGCCCTAGCACAGTTCATGTCTGTAGTCCTGCTGGGATGACACTTAGAAGTTTTTGCTGCAACTGCAATTGTTATGCCCATAACCAGCGATGGCTTGAAGGCATTATGTTTTCGGGTTGTCCGTCCATCGCATTCTTGTGAAAGTGCTATCTCAAGAACACTTTTAGGGCATTTCTTCAAATTTGGCACAAACATTCACTTTGAGTCAAGGATGAACTGGTTGGAATTTAGTGGTCAAAGATCAAGCTCACTGAGATCTTGTCTGTCTCATTCTTGTGAACGCAATATCTCAAGAATACCTTGAGGGAATTTTAGAAAATGTTCACTTGGACTTAATGATGAACTGATTAGATTTTGGTGGTCAGAGGTCACTGTGACCTTGCATTCATCTCAGTCTTGTGAAAGTGATATCTCAAGAACACCTAAAGGGAATTTGACACAAATGTCCACTTGGACTGAAGAATAAACTGATTAGAATTTTGTGGTCGAAGGTTAAAGGTCAAGGTCAGTGAGACCTCACAGAATATGTTTTTGGCCATAACTCAAGAATTCTTAAGCTAAATGTAATAAAATTTTACACATTTGTCTAATAGAATAAAATTATGAAGTGATGACATTGGCAAGGTCAAGGGACAAGGGACAATTTCACTGTAACATCATAATTTTCTGCTTAAAACACTTTTCGAGCCCAACTCAACATCATATCTCAGGAACAGAAGGGGAGACATTTGGTCAGATACTGAATTGGTAATCCAAATCTTGGGTGCTCACCTTCAAACTGTGCTGATTGTATAGATCTTTTGTGCTTTCCAGGGTTGCGGAAATGGCAGAAATGGTTGGTTTCCCAATTGGGTCTTACCAATCACAATGTTTCAAGCCTAAACTTTTAGCTCAGCCTCCATACCCTTTGTGATTTCATCCTTCTTGTTTGGGTAACATTAATTTACTTTCTTATTGCCATGGCTTCCTCCAACAATGGATAATACTCTCGGTACCACTCTGATATGTCGCCATATTTGCTTTGCCGCAACTCCCAATCTGTTTTCTTGACCTCCTTATACTCATGTGTTACTTTCAGTAACAGTTCCACCTCTTTGTCAGTCCAAGCAAAGAAATCCCTGGTCTTACTTTTTGCCATCTCTGTATTATTTTCTGTAACTAAGCAACCTACCCCAAAGTAGACAACCTGCTTCCTGTTTACACTAGCAAGCAAATGGCCAGTGTACGTAAATAGTCATGTGATATGCCTTTTCAGGTGTGTTAGTATGGACTGAGATTATTTCTGAAGCAGTGCTAAAATGCTCATGTGTACAGAAAATGTTTTCCTTTAAGACACATATAAGTGAGTCTCTTCAACAGTCTGCTCCTCCTCAACCCCACTGATACGGATGTGTTTTTTTTTTTTGTTTTGTTTTGTTTTTTGTTTTGTTTTTTTGGTGGCTGTACTGCTCCAGTTCATCCTTTTTGTGTTTGCTTTCCAGGATATTGTTGGTTTGAGTGATGCAAGTATTACATATCATTTCTGGCCGTTAGAAATAATGAAATAGAACAAGAGTTCCAGATATCACAAAGTTTCTGTGAATTTTAAATGACTGCTAGAGTTCATTGTCACTTGGAATCCTGATGAGAAGATTCAGTAGGACAAGACGACTGGGTGTCAGGCTCTTTCATTAGATTGCTGACATTATCCTGGTCACACATGGCTTCGTTGGTATAAGGTCTGGACCACATGCTGGATATCCAATTATTATATCCTGTCTCTGGTGTTCATCGATTCAGATTCATTAAACCTTGGTTTCTGAGATTCAGATACATTTAGATACTTGGTTTCTGAGATTCAGATACATGCACAATAATAATCCAGGCAGTTCCAAATATTTCTATACTGTACGAATTATAAATTGTTATCGCAGATGGAGGTGAAATTTGACCTAGCCGAGCTGAACTGAAGTTTGCAACTTTACCTCCAGTCTGAAGTTAATGCTTATCATCTGATTCAAGCAGACATGTATTGTAGTCAGACCAAGTGATTTTCAGATAGTGATGAATCATTTTTGTTGCCTTGACTCCCTTACTGAGCTATATTTTCCTTTATTTGCAGGAGTTTAAAATGCCTCATGACATTGTTGAAACCAAGGACGGCAGCATCTTCGTCGGAGATGTAGGCACTAAATCAGTCTTCAAGTTCACCACTGAGAGTAAGCTCAGCTTCAGTAAGACAATGATTAGTCTAAACTGTGAAATATTCTCATGTGCAGACTTCTTAGCTTGAGTGTGTTAGAGAAATTCACATTCACTATTAGATGTTATTTATAATTTATATTGGTGAGAATGCAGAAATCATTTTATTAATCAAGTCCTTTTTGTTTTGGCTTTGCACATGAACTCTCTTAACTGAAATCTAGCTAATCCTATACCTGGTTTTAAAAATGCCTTCTTTTTTTTCCAGAGTTACATCGTTCTGTCAAGAAAGCTGGAATCGAGGTTCAAGAACTTGAAGGTGAGTTTTGTTGAGTGTTTTTGTTTTTATACCCATCATGATAATAAAAGTACTTGCTGCTGCTGATATTTGCTGACACTACATAGCAACACAAATGCACAAATACACACACACGCACACACACACACACACACACACACACACACGCACACACACACACACACACAGCATGTGACGCACATCAACACCTGCAACCATTGTGTTGGGTGCCTGATACACCTCTGTCCTGTTTCTCATGATGTTTGTCAAGATGTGTATTAACATCCACAAACGAGCTTGCCACAAAATTGTTGGCATTGTAGGTTTCTGCAAACTAAGGATATGTTACATCTGTAAGTTATTATCCGTTATGTAGTGGATACATTGAAACTTTACGCTTCAACAATGCCGTGGTCAATGTGTGGTTTTGTTAAGGTGCAAAAAACAGTTGGTTATGGTTTGGAAAAGATCATGTTTTTGCTTAAAATACCTGGTTTTGGGGACACAATCCTTGCTGAAAAAACAGCAGTGTTTCAGTAAAAAAACAACTACTTTTAGTGGCCCAGTTTTTTGTTGGTCTCGAACACTGTTCTGCAATCTGGCAGGCGTCTTGTGTAGGTGACACGCTCGCTACCATCCTCTCCACTTGTAGATGACAAAGTCAGCTTATAAACTACATCCCTTTAGAAACATTGATATTATACTTAAGAATCATGTAAATATAATGTATTTGTAGTTTGCAGGAACGTACATTACGTACATTTTTGGCTGCCACAAAACAGCAGTCTCCAATAAGCACATCCTGGCTACTTTACTCTAATGACTTCCTCCTGTCAGTATGATGCGTTCAGTGTGTGCTGTTGGCATCAAATGTCACTGATGTGTGTGGCACTAACAAATACTCAGACCAGTGCAGGCTGTGTTCCGACAGTTTTGAAGTATGAACACCAGACCAAAACTGGGCACATCATTAACTGGAAAGTGAGCAAATGCATGGAGTAGGAGTCAGTGGACAGCCGGAGTAAGATCAAGGTTCAGACCCACAGACCCCCTGCAGTTGACAGTTCAGACCCTGTCAACTACAGGGTCAGCATGTGTTGATTCTGAAATGTTCTGATTTTGAGCAACACCTAATATTATAAAAAGGCAGCGGGACTGAGTTCACAAATCTAAACAACACGGAAGGTTGTTTACTAAACATAAGCAAGATAACATCTACTATTTAAATCTGTCACTGTAGTGTAATCATCAAAGTCAGATATCAGAAGCTTTATTTGATTTGAAGTATTCTAAATCTTCATCATCATCATCATCATCATCTTATACCACTGGAAAGCCTGTTTAATTCCCTTTTAAATGGTGCCACATTTGTAAGGAACATGCATTTGTGGGATGAGCAGCAGAGCTGAGTATGTGGTTTGCACCCACGGAAAATTTGCCAAATCTTCTCTGCCAATGCCAAACAGCTTTTTTTGCTGTTGCTATTAACTCTTGTTTTGAGCTGATTGGCACCTGATTGTAAGCATGGGCCCTGCTACAGTGGTCAGTTGTTGTCTGCTCCAAGAATTGGCATGCCACATTTGACTGATCTGGATAGGGCCCGTGTGAGAGGGCAACTTCAAGTTGGTGTTCCGCAAAACCAAGTTGCGGCACTGAAGGCCAAGTTCCATAAAATGGGGGATGTCAGAGACAGGCCGCGAAGTGGGCATCCCAAGAAGACGGCAACCCAAGAAGAGCGTTTCCTCATCCTGTCAGCACTTAGGAACCTTAGGCAGTCTTCTACAGATTTGCAGTCAAGGTTTGCAGGACAATATGGCCGACGGCTCTCTGCCCAGACAATCCGGAACAGACTGCACGCAGCCAATCTCCGGTCTCATAGGTCTGCCAGGAGACCTGCCATGATTGCCCTTCACCGTCAGGCCCATTTGTGCTGGTGTCGGCAACACGTGCACTGGAACTTGAACATGTGGAGGAACGTTATGTTCAGCGATGAGTCCAGATTCTGCCTACGGCAGTTGGATCATAGGGTCAAAGTGTGGAGAAGACGCAGACAACGCTTTGCTGATTGCTGCACCGATAGAGTAACATGTTTTGGTGGAGGGGCTGGCATCTCCCTCACTGGAAAAACGTGCCATGTCTTTATTGGAGGCAATCTCAATGCAGAGAGATATCGAGTTGAAATTCTGCAACCAGTGGCAATCCCATATCTCCACAGTCTGAGACCGAACTCTTTCCTCCAAGATGACAATGCTCACCCCCACAGAGCGCGATTTATCCGAGACTACCTCCAGAATTTGGGAGTGGAGAGGATGGAATGGTCTGCCAGCAGTCCTGACCTCAACCCCATTGAACACTTGTGGGATCAGCTTAGGCGTGTTGTTCATGCCAGAGTGACCAACACAACCACGTTGGCTGACCTGCGACAAATGCTGGCTGAAGAATGGGATGCCATCCTATAGCAGTGTGTGACCAGGCTGGTGACCAGCATGAGGAGAAGGTGCCAGGCTGATGTGGCTATATATGGTTCTTCCACACACTACTGAGGCTCCCGTTTGTTGAATGAATAAATTGTTAAATTGCCAATATGTCTTGTTTCTTCAGACTTCATTCATCCAATCCACCAAACACTAAACAAAAGTCAACAGCAAAAAAAAGCTGTTAGGCATTGGCAGAGAAGATTTGGCAAATTTTTCATGGGCACAAACCACAAACTCAGCTCTGCTGCTCATCCCACAAATGCATGTTGCTTACAAATGTGGCACCATTTAAAAGGGAAATAAACAGGCTTTCCAGTAATATAAGATTTAATGCCAAAAAGCATTGTTACAACAAAGAAATAATCTACCAAACACAAATTTCCTTACTTCCTGTGCTTAGTTTAGATTTGATTGTTAAATTTTTTTTTTTTTTTTAAAAATTAGCATATACTTTTTATCCCCAAAGATAAAAAAATAAATCCTGTGGGGACTTTGATGAAAATGGCACTCCCAATGAGTTATTCTCTCAGTTTCACCTGCTCTGTCCTTGATTCTGTGCGGAAAAAAAGAGGAAATGGACACCTAGTTAATCACAGCACTTCTCTCTGTGTAGAAATGGAGACATTTGTCCAAACGAAGGTGAGGCCAGAGCACAACATGTCGAAGACAGCAGCCGTCCAAGAGAAGCAAACTGTGGCTCTACAGCCTCAACCACAACAAGAGACAGAGGAGGAGAAGAAGAAGAATGCAGCAAAGTCAAACAGAGGGCAGGGTGTACTCCCAGCCATTATCACCACCCTGCTGCTCGTCCCTCTGCTGCTGGTCATCTCCGTTGGAGTCTTTATCTGCTGGAGGAAAAACAGTATGTATGACAGTCAGACCATGGGCAGTGAATAGAAGAGGACCAAAAAAACATTTTTATATTCAAGAATACCAAAATAGACATTAGGCCACATGCCTCTTTCTGACAAGGCTTAAAGTTTTTTCAAGTCCATCTTAATGCAATACTCAGACGCCCATATATCCATTTATAGGGGTATTGAACACTATAATGGTGCCCATACTGTCTGCAGAAGAGATCCTTTCCTAAAGTGGTTTTCATGTAAGATATGGAAGACAAAATCCACAGTTCTTGTTCTGTGCAAAAATGCATTCTAAATATCATCTGAAAATATATATCTGAGTTACACAACTTAAGTGGGTATCTCCTGAAGTCTTTTTTCTCCAATGATATTCCTTCTTTTTCTCCATGGACAGTGCCTGCCACGGCAGAGATAACACAAAGCCTGAATTTTGTGTTAAAAGAGAGTAACTTTAGAAGTTACCCAGGTAATTTGTCTAATGCCGGTTTCAGACTACATGACATTTTTGTCCATTCCGACAGTCACATGTCAGATTAGGCGATCATCAAAATCAAAATCTTGCCGTGACTTGGCCGACAGACATGACAGACTACACATTGGTCCACCACCAATCATCGCTGGTCGTCTTTCAGGACATGGTCATCGGATTATTCTTGTTTTATTTTTGTTATTATTACTATTATTTCAGTCACTATGGCTAATGGTTAATGTCCCAGCCAAAATGTCATTGTAGTAACTTAAAAAGTGCCAAATTACAAATTTTGGCATAAAAAGCCCAAAGGAGTGATCTAGCTCAGTTGTTCACAACTGGCCCGTCATGGAGCCGGTTTGCTGTCACTGTTAAGTAGGTGTCCATTAGTCACTCTATCAGAATGGACCCGTGAGACAATTTAGGACCACAACCTACCAGTTTGGAACCACTGGTCTAGCTTAGCCAGTCAGATTGTTAATTTTCAGGAGGAGTGTCAATGATGATCATCAGCTGCGCTGTAGGACTGTGTTTGCTAAAGCCTGAAGTCTGAGCCATTTGTGACTTTTATGTTCCTTTAACATCTCATAACAGTGTTTTGCTCCCAACCATGCTGGCATTACAGCACCACTGACTAGGTGGTTGTGGTCTGAAACATGTCAGGAGGCTTTAGTTCAGATCAAAGACATTTTGTCCAGGTCCCCAGACCTTAAGCCTTTTAGTTTGTTATTTTCGCATTTCAGTCAAGAACAGTGAGGAAGCTGACCCCTCTCCGTAGGCTGAGAGCATCTCAGGTTAAAGTCAGTGTTGATATGATTATGCTAAATGTTTCCCTAAAACTCTGACTGGGGTTGATGAAATCAAAGGTAATATCAAGTACAGTCATTAATGTAAGACTTGTTTGCAATACCTCTTCACAAAGATTAAATAGATTTTTCCCTAACAACAGGAAAATAATAGAATGCTGAAAGCTGTACACCTTGCTCTGCTCTGTTTGCTCTGTTGTCTTTGTGTCCTTAATATTTGGTCATCAGCATTCAGCTAAATACTGCTGAATATCGTTTGTTTACAGACCGATGTGAGGTGAAAACTGAACCCAGCTCTGTGGGAGGGATCTTGGGAAAAATAAGAGGTAAGTCATTCATGACATTACAAACCAGAAAATTTCTCATGACATGTTTAGACTATGCCTGATACTAGCTGCACATCCCAATGCTAATAGAGTGCTCGAGGGATGATGTTTTTCTGTAGGCTGAAGCAAAAGTTAGCATTGCTCTGGTTCCCTCATCAAAAAGCCTATGGGGTTTTTCCACTGGATTTTGGATTATTGCCAAAAATAAGCTCTGTGGCAAACAAATGGCTGTGATACTTGCATGTTTTGTTCAGCAAGGTAATCTTCACAAATGAACACAGATTACTTGAGATGAAATGCATTTGCCAGAAATAAAAAGTCAGGCTTTAAACAAACTACACCACAGTTGCATGACTTAACGTCACCCCCATAACATTACTTTAAAGCCATGTTTAGTGAGGCTCAGTGTGATGATGTTCTGTAGTCTCATTTAGCCACTTGTTAGCAACCACTGTTTTAAGGACACATAAAAGCTTAAGATCTCATGAGTGGGGTATTTACTGACGTATTTTATGTCATAGAACAAAACATGAAAGTCTCTTAAGCATGTGTCATCCACAGACCTTATTACAATCATCTAACCAAAAACACATTCAAAAACCCACTGACTTCAAGATGAGGGAACCGGGAGTGGTAAAATGCTAACTCATTTCGGGGTTTTAGAATTCATTCCTGGGGCCTCTATTAGCAGTACTTATAGCAGTATTTATAGCAGTAGTTGCATCATTGAGGTTCATAGGCCACATGCTGAGTGTTTATCTCTCTATGAGAAAGAAAGAGAATAGACCACACGCATACTCACACATATGTGTGTGGCACTGGTTGTTATGGTGATATGAGCACTGTGATGGAGTGGAGGGGCAGACCACAGTTATAAAACAGTAGATGTGACATTACATCATATCTCATGGGAAAGCTGTCTGCAATCTTACCTGGGGGGTGTTTATAATCGCCACCTCTGGGCAGCAGCTGTGGTTGTCATTCATTTTGAGGCTGGACCGTGTTGTTGTTGTTGTTGTTGTTGTTGTTGTAATACATATATATGTAATACATATATATATACCATTTGGTTTTTCGTTGCACCACATTCCCACAACACAGAGCACATTCTGTGCACAGGCGGAGTAGCAGAACAGCTGCTCCTCTCACCTATCGATCTGATACAGCTCTTAATGGATTGACTGATCAGCTAACTCTACACACCTCCAGTAGCTCCTAAGTAGCTCTAAGTAGCTTATCCATCCTACAACTCAAAATTGCTGAGGAAAAAAACTGTAGATAATGGTCTTTGGTGTTCTTCCTCTGTCAAGGTAAAGCTGTGGGCAGTCTGAACCTGGGGAACTTCTTTGCATCCCATAAGGGTTATAGTCGTCAGGGCTTTGACCAGCTAAGCACTGAAGGCAGCGACCAGGAGAGGAACGACGAGGACAGCAGCGACTCGGAGAACGAAGAGTACTCTGCTCTGCCTCCTCCTCAGTCCTCCTCGTAGACACTCTGGGTACAGCCACCAACCTTCTGCTTTCTCTGCCAATCCAAGATGTATGTTCTTCATCATGTGTGTAACTGTTGTGTTAGCTGCCAATCTTATTGTTTATATATTTAAAAAAAGATGCTGTATATAAAAATAATTAGCCTAATTTAGACAGGTTATTTAAAATTTATTTAATTTACCCGAAGTCTGGATATAGCCTTGGTGATACAATTCACAAGTTTTACTTTGAAAGATTGTTTTTCCCAAATCAAACTTGCATTTAGTGAAAATATTAGCACAATCCCCAGTTTGAAATAGCTGGTGTAAGGTTTAGCCTTGATACAAGACCAAATCTGCCAGCGAGCTAAGATAACTTTTTTTTTCATGCTATTGTTTCACTTCTTTTAGGGATTTGCTTGAAATGAGGATCAGCAAAAAAATTCAACAAAATTCTCAAAATAAGCTGTTTAGTGTTGGAAACAGGTCAAACAAAACAAAGCCCATTGCTGGACTTTTATTTTCATTTGTAAGAAACTAAACGAAACTTCACTGAATCACTTTTTGAGAAGGGACATTTCTGGGACTGAAATGTGGTCAAGTATTTCACACTTAGTCAGCTAATGTTATTTTTGTACTCAAAGTGACCTGTTTGAAAACCTGAAAGGCTCTGTTTTCATGGCAGCGCTCTGACCAGCTTAAGCAGCACTGCGGCAGTTTATTGGTTTTCTGACAGTGATATTCGCTTTGCCCAGCTGTTAGCCCAGGTGGGAAGAGAAGTGCCAAGTGGAAAGTGGAAGTGCAGAGTCTTTGATATTTTAGAACAAGTTGGGTCTTATGTAGATGTTGCGCTGAGAATAGATGTCTCAGAACCATGTCTGTTCCTGGAAAAACATCACTCTACTGCCAATTTGTTGATTCTGTCATCAAGAGAAACTAAATCCTCGGAGAGAATATTGTAATTAAACTCTGAGAAGAAGATGCATTTAAAATGGCAAAAAAAAATCCAATGTAAAGTACCTGAAAGTAACTTATGGAACATCAGTAAATCAGTGACCTATGAATTAATTTGAGGGACTTTTACAGTATCAGTCATGCACAGCTGCTTTATAATGTATGAAAAGGCTCTGATTTAAGAAGTGCCGCAGGAGAGCTATGGCCATTCACTATGTTTACCTTGAATACAGGTTGCCACAAAATAACCCTACACACCTCCACATACATCAGACTGGTCAGTTCTGAATTGCAGGATGTATTCTCACTGTTAATGAGTGAGACATCAGGTTAAAGGGGTTCATAAATCCAATTTTAGCAAAAGTGCCATTACATACAATATGATGGGACCATTAGCATCCTGAGATACAATAGGATTAAAGGGATACAAAATGACCACTTATATATCATTTACTCACCTGTGTTAAATGAATTAGTAAAGAAAACTGAATGGATAATCCAAAACTGAAGAAAACTCTTGATAATTTGCAGTAAAGGGGACTGCATTAAACAACAGGAAAACTATCAACACATCCCAGCCAAGTCTCATTTATCCAGTTGTATGCTCAGTAATTAACAAACACATGCCTTTTTGCTAAAACATTACTATTTAAAAACGTTTCCACAAAAACAGCCTTACACACAGACTTAGATAAGATCAGATAAGATCCTTTGTTCACTGTGGAGGCATTTGAGAAAGTTTTCTTTATTAATTCAATATAACACAGGTTGAAGTATTCCTGTAAGACTGAGACGGTGTCGGATTGATGCGATCATGTAAATGACTTGAACAAGCATTTTTTAAATACATCTTTGTATTGTCTTTGTAGCAATTATCTGTAAAATCCCACACCAAGCGTCTCTGCTCCATCCAGACAACAATATGATTTTCTGGAAAAGTCGATTATTCTTTTGTTGAGCTGTTGCTGTCAGACCTCACTGTGATTGACTTAGCTCTTTCAAGACGATGAGAGCAGTGATGTGATCGGCTGTATTTATTAATCACTATACCGTCTCATCTACATTCCACTTCACTCAACCATATAGCACTTTGTGCTGCTCAACTAAAATAGCAGGCAAGCTTGGAGAGGCTCACACAGTCTGTGGTCCCAGGATGTCCTGCTTTGTGCTGCTCACTGTGCTTTTCCATTAAAATAGAGCCCTAAGAAAGAAACAGAGATGCTCTGTTGGCTGTTTATGTTGCTGTTCAGTGTTTTGGTTACGCCGAGTCAGAACTGGACATAAGTACAGTGTTTTTCATGACATTTCAATATCTGATTAACAATTCAATTAGCAGGATTAATTACAGAAATTTTGCAAGTTTATCTAGATTTCAAAAATGCAACATTTAACAGCACTGATATTGTGTAAATGGTTTACTTTGACTGGAAAAGTGCATCCTCCCTTACATAAATTTCTTCCATGTAGTAAAGCTACACACATAGCATTATTTCAGTATGATTGTTTGGTCCATGTTTCAATTTGGTAACATTTCACTTGTAATTTTGTGCCTTTTTTACATCTGTATTTTGCCTTTCTTCAGCACCTGCCATTACAAAATGTACCATGGGATGAAAACAGCTGCTGCTAGTAGAGCTTGTACTATATTGATTTCTCTTCCATTCAAGTGTACAGAAAATAGATATTATTACATATATATATGTATATGTATATTAATGTCTGTATGTATGTATGTATGTATGTGTGTGTGTCTGTCTGTCTGTCTGTGTGTGTGTGTGTGTGTGTGTGTGTAAGATGCCAATCAAACAGCCAAGTCTCAAGCACTGTAACTTTTACTTCAAACTCCCTCACTTCAGAGTTCAGACTATAAAGAAACAGCATGAATTAAGAAACAGTTGCTTTGTCCATCTTCTGTAACTTAAATGAACCACGTTGCTTTGTTTGCAAGTTTTAGCTCTTTACTTACAAATTGTTTATGATTAATGTGTTTGATCTTAACCTAATATACATATACTTAAGTCACAATATAATATTATTGCGATTTTAAATGTATTGTGATATGCTGAGCACTGCGATAAAATGAAAATTATGTCCCCAAAGGAAAATTTTGTCAACATCTGTTTTATCTAATAAGATAAATTATTAATATGACAAATTCAAATTAAACATTAGGTAGCCTACTAGAATAATATAATCAATTGCTTTTTCAGTTCACTACATATATTTTGCTGCTAGTAAAATTACTGAAATGAGTGGAAAACTATGTAGTAAAAAAAAAAAGAAAAGAAATCAGTACTTGTGTGAGGATACGATCTTGCCACACAAAAATATTGTGATATTATGCGGTATCCATTTTGTTCCCCCACCCCTAAAAGATACTCATTATCATAGACAATAAAGAAAACCAGCAAATATTCAGTTCAGAGAAACTGGAGCCAGTGGAGTGTTGGCACTGTTGCTTAATAAATGTGCTGCTTAAAGGGATAGTTCACATTTTTTGAAGTGGGGTGTTATGGGTACTTATCCATATTCTGTGTATTATTTATTTATTTAACAGGGACAGTGCACTGCTACCTAGCTGCACCAGCGTTAGCTATACGCTAATTTTCATCTGTAGTCCCAGCGCAGGAAACGGAGAATAATTTATCTGCTAAAAGACATTAATTGTATAAAAAACACAATTACAAAATAGAACATATTTATGACACACTGGTTTCAGCAATAACAACAGCAAGACAACACAATATCAAATCATTGCAACAATAAAAGTAGCAACAACAATAAAACTACAACCCTAAGACACCACAACAACAACAATGAAACTACAACATAAAGATATAACAAGATTTCACAGTGTTAGATCAAGTGTTCATGTGTGATGGGTACATGATTGGGTTGATTTTAGCCGTGATTTCATCTTAAATTTAAAGCCAACAAAGCTGTTACACTGTCTTTTCTCACTTGGTACTGAGTTTCAGTAGTTAGTAGCTCTAACAGAGAAGGCTGATCTACCAAACTCAGTAGATCTGTGCTGTTGGTCGACCTAGATGCCCTCCCTTTGTCTGAGTGCAGTTGTATGAACTCTTTTAAAGGTGGAGCAGCCAGATCATTAATCACATTGTACACTACACTAGCATCAGCAAAACACACAAAGCTGTCAAAGGTCAGTATATTAAGCCTTTGAATGATGTTACAATGGTGATAACATAATGATTTTTTTGTCCAGTGCCTTGAGTGTTTGTTTGTAAAGTGTTTGCAGCTGGGCAAGTGCTGTTTTTCCAGAGTGTGACCAGCTTGTAATGCAGTAAGCAATATGTGAAAACATCATTGAGTGCATGTATATCTTTGCCACATTTAAGGGGAACTGGTTTCAATTATAACTAAAGTTCCTTAGATTTTATTTAGATTAAATGTTTCTTAAAAGTCAGCTGTAAATCAAGTGTAATGCCTAGATATTTAAAATGTGACACGGTCTGGATCCTTTCTCCCTTTACCACAATATCTGGCTGACTTCCATTTTTCCTAATAAAAAATTATTATGATGAGGATGACCGTGTCATCCTCGTACATTTGGGTTTAAACTTCAGGACATGTGAGTGGCAGATCATTAACATATAGACTAAACAAAAGAGGTCCTAAGATTGAGCCTTGTGGAACACCAACAGAGCAATCAGCAAATGATGAGGTCCTATTCCCAATTCTAGTACATTGTCTTCTCCATCCATTTGATTGCATCAATGGAGAAATTAAAAGTGGATCATTTAGAAAGAGGAACATTATGATTTACAGTATCAAATGCTTTTCTCAAGTCCAAAAATACAGCTCCTACAGCATCTACTATTCTGTACAACTTTAATTAGATTTTTTCAATGAAATAGCAGGCAGCCATTTTAGTTGAATGTATTTTTCTGAAGCCAAATTGCATGGGATGAAGTACAGCTTGTCCTGAGTTTAAAAAGTCAGTTAATTGTTCAGTAAAAGTAAATTTCTTAATACAGCAGATGTCAGTCGGCACACCCCCAGTTTGGAGAAGTAGGCAGGAATCCAACATGGAAGTTAAGCAATGTTCTTCTGTGGAGGGGTCAGCAACAAAACATATTTCAGCCACCTAAAAAAAGTCCTTCTTAAAAAAAATCATTATCAATTTAAGTGTACATTATATTGAGAGTGTTTTCATTGTGTCACACAGCTCATTTCGATGGGGAAGATATTACTGTTTTAAGTTCCCCATGTATACTCTTGTCAACACCACAAGACTCCAAACTGGGAACAAGCTGACTGATATCTACTGTATATAATATACTGTCTATGGACAAGTGCCTGATACAACCCCACTCCAAAAAATCTGAACTATCTGAACTTAAATATTAATGATTAATGGATTTTAAAAATAGTTTGAGATGAAATACCTTTAAGTCAAATTGAAAATTAATACATTAAAATCAACTGCTTCAGCGCTATAATTATTGTATGGAAAACCAGTGGATACCTGGAAAAGTGAAAAGGAATACATTCAGTTTTTCTTATCACAGGATCACGCAGCATGTTTTACAAAATGTTCAGCTGTGATTTAAAGAATACAATGTGCAGCAAATGAGCTAAAACATGCAGTGGACCAATTTTTGTGGTTCTTAAAATGTTTGTCTTCTTTACAGCTGCAGGTGCATGTCTGCATTTAAATTGTTCTGTTTCAGCAATGTAATATTGTGTATATTGTGAACCATTGTGCACATTGTCCCAAACTGAAAGTGTCTGACAACTACAATTAAGTACATTGCTTGAGATTTAACTGGAAATTACAAAATTGTTAATTGATCATGTTTAATCTGATCAATTAATACATTTCTAGGAATGAATGGAAAACTGAGAATATAGGAAACATGTTCACTCAGACCTACAGCACAAGTCATAGGTTGTCAAAGGAAGTTGTTCAGTGAAATCTGAATCAAGCACGAGTCCCCCAGATTATAATGCAACAATTAATGTCCATCGAAATCTATCTCACAGCACACAACTCATGTAAAATACACAGAAACACAAAGACAGTGGGATGAAGAGGATGTTTTTCTAATCAGAATACTCTGTTTCATTCTGTATTCTCAGGTTTCATTTCATTTGCTCAATCTTTCATTCCATCTTCTTAAATTCCATCCTGTATTCTCCTACCCATGTTAGATATTTCTGGTTCTGTCCATACCCTCAGTTTGCCTTACACTTTGAATGAATGGTTTCCTTAATGGCATGCCATAGAAAATGCATTTCTGATGTTGCAGTCACATGAAGGCTAACTGATATTTATTTTGACACACTGGTTTTGCTGCAAGAGTACTATTTTCAGTAACTATGTTATTTGTGTAATAAAGTATCTGCAAAGCATCACAGTGTCCTGGAGGTTGTGGGATCAGACCAGTTAGACAGTTGGTTGGATGACTAATGTCATCACTAATGTCTAACTCTACTTTTGATGCCTCCATGCTGGCGATAGCAGTGGTCAGAGGGATAATGTTTGCTTTGAATTCTATGCTGGTGAACACAATATCTCAAGAACACCTCAGGGGAATTTCTTCAAATCTGGCACAAATGTCCACTTGAACTCAGTGATGAACTGATGAACACATTTCTTAATGTGTCACAGTTGTCCACTTGGACTGAAGAATAAACTAATTAGAATTTTGTTATTAGATTTTGGTGGTCAAAGGCCAAGGTCAGTGTGAATTTCTTTAAATTTGACACAAACATCCACTTGGACAGAAGAATAAACTGATTAGAATTTTGTGGTCAAAGGTCAAGGTCAGTATGACCTTACAAAATATGTTTTTGGCCACAACTCAAGAATTCATATGCTAATTATGACAAAACTTATATCCAAAAGGTCAAAGGTCAATTTCATTGTTACATCATAATGTTCTGCATACACTATACATACACTTTTATGGCCATAACTCAATGTCATATCTCAGGAACAGAAGAGGAGACATTTGGTCAGACACTGAATTGGTGACTCTGATCTTGAAACTGCTGATTGTATAGATCCTCATAGATCCTGTGTGTGTGTGTGTGTGTGTGTGATAGACCTGTGTAACGTGCTCACATATTCCACAAGAAGCCAAACGATTTTATCATATGATGTCATTTTATTCAAAAGCATTGGCACAAACAACACTATAATGAAGAACAAAATCCAAAAAACATAACAATCCCATCACGGTAGTGGCTAAATCATTGTCGCCATATTGAGGAATGACTGTGCAGTTGCAGTTAGTGTGTAAATGATTCTTCTTCTGGAAGTGGAGGATTGAAGAACCATTCAAGTGTTGAGAAACAGATCAATTTGATGTATTTGTTACTGTTGGGAAATCTCAGGCATTTGTTTCAGAGCAAACCTCTTTAGTGGACATTGAAATGCACAGTGCTCTGACAGACTAGAGCAGGAACAAAACGAAACAGAAAAGCAGTATCTGCCGAGGATAAGAGTCTCAAGTTTCCAAGTTTTGATAATCGTATCAGTGCTAAACCAAATGCCACGTTTGTTCCTGATTTTAATTTTAGACATAAGACGCTGGGTGATGTTAATATTTTTACAGAACTGATCAAACTATGTACAATATTTTAAAACATTTCAAATGACCTCAGAATAGCTTAAGACTGTTTGCTGTTGTAGGCAATTCAGAATACAGGAAAGAGAATAAGATAAAACAATATGAAAATGCTCATTAGAGATTAACAATGTGAACTTTTCCAGTTACTATCATCCTTTCAAAAAGCCAAAGTCCAGCTCAAGCTTGCATTTCATTAGAAGATATGTTAAGCCCTTTAAATTGCACAGTGACAAAGATCAGCAACTGTGGTAAGATCTTATTGTACAGATGACTAGGTTCATTTGGTGATAGGATGCTTTCTGATGTGGTGCTATGGGACAAGATGAAGATGTAATGATCGCAGTGTAAAATTCGTATCACACTCCGCAACCATATTTTGTTGGGTTCTTCAGTCTAAATATAGTCACTGGTGGAAACTTTCAACACAGGAGGTCATGAATTCTAATGGTGGAGTGAAATCACAAATAACTCCTTAACCAGAACAGGAATATAACAGAAGTTTCAGGTGTATCCATTGTTATTGCGTCTGCTTTTGTTTCCACTGTTCTCTGCATGCTTTGGGGTAGAGTTAATGGACCTAAATTTGGGCTCTGTTTAAGAGGTGATACAAAGTTCCAGGTAAGTTCAGCGACTTCTGAACAATCCTGGGTTTATCTACTCATTGATTGAATTCCTGCTTTTTTTGTCATTTAATTTATAGTTTTTCACTGTGCTGCATGCTCTGTCTCCTTTTACACAGAACTTTAAATAATGTTTTTCAATAACACTTCATTCATGCATAAAAAAGTTATTCAGTACACCAACACAATGAGCAAAGAAAGAAAGAAAGAATGCATTGAACTGACTTCCAATATGATACCATCAGAAAAGTATAAGGATACAAGAAAATTGCGCTGGGCATTTTTCACAAATTTCTGATATTTTATTCAT